TATTGTTTACAGCTGTTTCGGAAAACACGCAACCTGTGATATCAAAAACGTCTTTGGACTTAAGGTTTTTCTGCGAAATCAATCAAAATCTGAAGGCGCGGTGCTTTCTCACGGATCTCTTAGGAAACAGACATGGTTTGCGATTTGTGGATGTCGATCCATTTTGTGTAGTGTGTCGGGAGGATTTGTGCTATGATGTTCTTTTGTGTGATGTTAAGTTTTCACGTTTTAGCTTCTAAGTTTTTTTCCCTTCTTACTGAAACATGGCAAGTTTAGATTCCCAAGGTGAAGTAGTTCCTAGCTTCCAAATCCATAAGAAACACAGATATGAGAGAGTGAAAACAAATTCCCGCAAACATTTAATTTTGCAGCTTCTGCTCATTACTGCCGCCTTTATTTGACACCCAAGGATCGGATGCTATGGTAACAGTTTGATTGACATAGAGGAAAAAGCCAAAATCCTGAAACTTTTTTGACAATACAAGTCATGTGTTATCTGAAACAGCTGTAAGTATCAAGTTGATTCGTTGCTGTGATTTTATCCTTAATAACCGTGACCACTCTGTTTTACACAGCACAGATATAACAAGGAAGAAAATCAATAGTGATAACCTCTTAAGGCTTAAAGGGTTCAGAAATTACGGAGGGGTAATGGGGTTCTTATTTGTTGGCTCTGATGACCATGCTGTAGTATCCAAAAAGTACCACTTACTTGGATGAGTGTCTTTTAACTGGAGGACGTGCTCTGCGACACTTCAAACACACAACAACAGCTGCTGCTATGAGGCCTACGGCTGCACACACTAAAGAAACCGTCACAGCCAAGTTTCTGGAACTGCTCACTCCATCGGATTCTTTTACATCGCTTTTTACCACACTCTCTTGTTGCTTTAAGTGACCACAGGAAGAGAGGTCACTAAGCACTCTAACGGCGAATGTGTTGTAACCTGGTGAGGAAAAACAAGAAAAATGACATGTGAAGCTACTGAATTAAAATACCATAATTGATCTGATAGACATCCTCTCTCAAAAAAAGCCTCAGTCTTGTCTAATAAACAACCCCCCACCCCACCAATACACTCTTAGATTTTGCCATAAAAGCCCCTCTCTAATAAACGTCTCCTGTCCAATAGATGCCCCACATGACAGTTTATCCAAAATACTAAGAAATAGTGACAGGGCAAAATCATTCAATTTATTCAGTTTTGTGTTTGCTTAAGAACAGTTGGTGCATTGTATTTTGTTCAATGCCAAGTTCTAAGTAAGGATTCAGACATCAACACTGAGCTTTTAAAAAACAATTTGGATCTCTTAACAGCATAGACATATCAATGGATGGACTGGATAGTCTACTATTATTTTATACACTGTGGTGATATATTCACCGAAAAGCTATTAATTTTGTGGAGTTATGAGTTATTTTGTGGAGTTACAGTTATGAGAGTAAATGCCACCTATTTATTAAACACCCCTAGGTATCTTTTAGATCATTTAAGGATTGCCGAATAATAATGTTCTTTATAATCATTTATTCAAAATATTTCTCGGTTTCTGATTGGCTCAAATCTCACAGCTAATAATATTTTTCATAACTAGCTAGCTTTGATGTCATTAGTTCAGAGAAATCACCAGAAAAAGAGACCCCAACTGAGAGACCCTGGGGACCTGCCGCTAACAGGGTTGTCATGGTTACCTTCTGGGATTACTAGTGGCTCCCTCAGTTTGACAAGGCACCATTGCCACACCCATCTACTGTCGATGGGTTCAATTCTTTCTATCTTGCTTCCAACTACTGATTAAAAAGGCACACCTTGGAAGGAACTTACCTAAGTCAATGACATTCTTGTGTTGAATAAGCAGGTTATGAAACTGGCAGATGAGCTGATTCACTGAATGACCCTTAACAGGTTTGATTTTCATGCTTACTTCTGCACTGATACTGTCTCTACACTGAAGTAACACAGATCCATCCACAATGTTTGCAACACTATAGCTACAGTTGCAAGCCTCGGCAATGCTAGAGGTCACTCCTTGGCTTATACGTGAAACTGCAACAGCTCCCTGGTAAAACAACACAGAGAAATTCAGTCAACTTAAAATAAAGGCTGGGATACAGCATTGAGATGATTCCAATTTTGAATTTAAAAAAAAAAAGTATTCCTCAATCAGTGGGCTAAATCCAAGTAGGGAACCCTGACTGGATTATTACTGACTTGAGATGCATCAGTTTACACCTGAACTGTGACATAAATGTGCAATTCATGTAGGTGATCCTTTCTAATAAAATACTATGGCTTAATTTTTACTTCTAGGGGTCACTTACTCTCTATAAAGGAAAAGAACTACACGTATGAATGTTTCTGCAAAAGTGTGAATTTATACTCAAGAAAATTAATGACATATGCACAATATTTACGTTGTAAGAATTAAAAAAAAGTACCCTAATCCCAGAGGTTTTTCGTGGAGTTTTTCTTCAGGAAGGAGAGAGTGAGCTGCAAAGCATTGAGGAGAGAGAGAAAACCCTCTGGTTACCTTGGCCTCGAATCTCACTTTCATACAGACGACAGGGTCAGGATCTGATCCTCAAGCACTGATTGGTTGATATTTTTACAAAGATGCAAATTAAGCATCGAGGAGAGAGAGAAAACCCTCTGGTTACCTTGGCCTCGAATCTCACTTTCATACAGACGACAGGGTCAGGATCTGACCCTCGAGCACTGATTGGTTGATATTTTTACAAAGACGCAAATTAAGCTGATTGGTTCGTTTAATTGTAACTACCAGGGGACAAGGAGAATTTTCCCCTAATTTCTTTCGGTAAATTTTGCCTCTCTCTACCAGGGAAGAAAATTGTTTGTAAAATATGTAAAAACTTATGCAACAGACAATTTATTCAGTATGTGCGTATTCCTGTTGAATAAAATTGTCAGTTTTATAAGATATGTCTGCTCAAAATCCCGTAAAAGCAATTATGATTGTTTCCATAGCTGCTGTTATCTTAGAGGTTTTTGCTTTAAACATCTTCGTACAGTGCTGTTGAGGTTTATCATGTGATCTCAGAGTACAATGTTTAGTTGTACACAGCATGCATTCTTTAGATATATCCAGATCTGACACTGGTTTTGGGTATTTATCACGTCTTTGTAGAAACATGATTTTTGAATATGTTACGATGCTGTGTCAGTGGCGGCTCGAGCAAAGAGGATTTTTTTACAGTATAGTCTCGGTTGAGACACGACACAGGAGAATCCTTCGCACAGCGCGCTTCTGTTATTTCAAGTGGTACTCTAAGGATTGATTTCTTAGGGCCTTGTTACATTTTTCCCGGAATTTTGCCAATACCTTGCATTACTATAATACCCTTGGCACTTTACTTAGTTAATGGCAGATTTGAGAGGGAATAAAACAGCGATTTTCTTGAAGAGATTCGTGAATTTTTCTCCCTACATAAAACATGTATTACCTGTGCCAGCAGGAGTTTGCAGTCTTCAGTCATCAACTTGAGGCTTAACTGTTGGTGAAATGTTTCAGAAGGAATGGTACCTGCCATATCTGCATTTGACATAAAAACAAGAGGTGTTTCTTTACAATAATAGTGTTCCATAAAGCACTCACTGACTAAAGTTTGGAAGGTGAAAACCTTTGTTTTCTCATAAGGAATGCTCCTCAATAAGATTAGTTAATTATTTAACTCTAAAAATTTAATACGATCAAACAAACATCAGGTGCCAAAAATCAGATGGAAAAGGGCAGACATCAGCCTTGCATGATGGAGGAAAAAATTTCATGCAAGCCTAATTTTTAGTGATCTAGGAATTAATTCTTAGATGCCATTAAGACCTGAAGTTTCCTATTTTATTTTATTGTCATTATTACTTGAACTCAAATGTTACCCCATTAATCACATAATTTACCATTAATGACAGCCCTGGACTTTAACAGCTTCAAAATCAACTCTCTTCATAATGGACCGAGAGGAGACTAGTGCTAATAATATTGTTTGTCATAGAGAGATTTCTGCTTTGTAGAGAGTAACAAAAAAATGACTGACTAGTGAATGGCAGTCACCAGCAAGTGTCATCTCTATGGGAGGGGCGCATCTTATTAAGATTTCTGTTAAGTGAGAGTTGGCCTTATATAATTATAATGTAATACGTTGTTGGTAAAATCTATGTTCTTACTCTTGCCTTTGTTTCATTAAAAATGAAATAAAAAAAATAAAAAATAGAATAAAAAAATGGGGTGAATTTTACTGACCTTCACAAGTTTTTCCTCCAAATCCTTCCTGGCAAATACATTCAAAATCATTCACCTTATCCCTACAAGTACCACCGTTCATGCATGGCTGTGAAAGACAGTCATTGATGTTGACGGCACAGTTGTAACCTGTAAATCCAGCTTGACATACACACTCAACACTTTGACCCTTATCAGTGCATGACACTGAATTGACACACATGTTGGGTTCCTTGCAGAGGTCAACATCTATCTCACAGTGGGTGCCCTTAAAACCTGGTCCACAATCACACTGGTAACTGTTGACTCCGTCAATACATCGGCCTCCATTGTGGCAAGGGTTACTGCCTTTACTTGACAGGCATTCATCCAGATTGTAATCACATTTAATACCATAATAACCTGGTGAACATTGGCACTTAAAACTATTTACTTGATCAATGCATGTGCCATGAACACAAGGTGAGCTGGAACACTCGTCTATGTCGACCTCACAATGAGAACCTGAGGGGGAAAAAAAGCAGTTAAGGCTGTGCTCTAAGAAAAATTGAAGGGAGTCCAATGCTCAGAACCTGTGAAATCCAGGTTGTCAAACACAGGATTTCTATGAAAAAGATATCATTTGCTACTGATCACCTAAGAGCAAAGTAACTAAGGTGCCAGGGGTTATTGGGCAAGTCTAGACCCGGCCCTGACGATGATTTATGAATACAGTACAACCCCGATAACCTCAAAATCCCCGCTACCTTGAACTAAGTCCAATTTCCCTTAGATTTCACCCCACTTTTCAGTCATTATTACTCAATTAACTCAAACTTGAATAACTTGAATTCCCAGCTTACTCAAACTAAATATCTTTTCCCTTGATCAAAAAGTCACTGAAATTTACCCCGACAACTCGAATCGTGGTTCTACTTTCAACCCCACTTGGACGCCATCCCATTAGCTCTTCTTGTTGTATAAACGTTAAAACACTAAAACTAACACTGTTCAACACTAAAGCAATTTGATTTTAATATTGGTGAAATGAACAGATTAAGTTTTATCATGATCATGTTACTGTTTCTGATGAATTAAGTTAAATTTGCACTGCACCAGACACTGAAGTGCTGAAAAATCAGTAACTATCAATTCTTAATATGGCAAATTGAATTTTAAATTGACCCTGATAACTGGAACCCTAACTAACTTGATCTGTTTTCTATTGCCTTTCAGAGTTCCAGTAACGTGACCCTATACCTATTTCCTGAGATAATTTGAAAAAATTCTGTGAGACACATGTTCCTTGGAAATATTTTGTGCCTTTTAAAGTTTACTTGTCAGTTTTCCAATGGTGTGATGTTGCAGGTATTTTTCACTAAAGAAAACCACATGCACATCTGTAATAAGAATATCACTTTAATATTTACACATTAATGTTTTTGAAGGAGAAGTAAAATTTATGAATTTGATTTCATAATAATAATATATCATAAAGCAATAATGCCAAAAAAAATTTAAACTCATAGAAGTTTCAATTAATAATGAAAAATATTAACCACATGGTTACTTATTAAAAAGTGACTTTGATACCTGTAAACCCCATGGGACAAGAACAAGAAAACTCTCCAATGCCATCAAGACAAGTACCTCCATTCATGCAGGGCAAAGACGCACATTCATTGATATTTACTTCACAGTTTCTTCCCGTGAAACCTCTTGGACAGTGGCACGTAAAGTTATTCACCATGGGTACACATCTCCCTCCATTCATACATGGGACAGACACGCACATATCAGTTACCCTGGAGCAATCCCTTCCCTCATAGCCTGGTAGACAAATGCATACATGAGTAGTACCATCAGCTGAACCTTCCATATTTTGACAAGTAGCGTTATTTTTGCACGGTTTTGAGAAGCAATAGTCTACTTTTTCACAAAATTCCCCTGTAAAGCCGCCGCAGCATTTACAGCGATACTGTGGGGTTGTAAAGTTTGTAGTGCATTGCCCTCTGCTGGAACAAATCTCGCTGGAAGAGGGAGCTTTGCAATTGTTCTCTTTAACGCTCACATTTAAACGTAAACCAAAGTCACAGCGAAATGTCGAGTCAATATTAGCGATAAAATAGTTGATACCCAGCTTGAGAACGTCTAGGTCGACTACAACGCTGTTGGTTGGTTTATTTACGAGAGGAATTCCATTACTCTCGTTACAGCCTAAGAACGCTTTTGCGCCGTCCGCAGCAACCACATGATGGGGCACAAATCCACCAGCATAAGCGACGATTTCTTCGTCAGCCGTAAAATTAAGTGTGTCTCCAACTTGAATCTGCAAAGGCATTAACTGTACCTCTACAAACGTGTCGTAAACGTTGGCTTCCGTGTCATTCTCGCCACCGAAACACGAATGTTTCGTACTGCAAATGCTCTCTTCATATCCCCAAAGAACTGGCACGGAGAACGAGTAATTTCGCCAGCAAGGTTCTTGATCACATCGCGCTATGCACTGCTGTATTTCACTTTGATGAATTTCACAGTGATGGCCATAGGTATCGTCTTTACAAACGCATTTATAACCATTCACTTCGTCAACACACAAAGCGCCATTTTTGCACGGACTGGAAGCACACTCATCTTGATTGATGTCGCATAATTTCCCAGTAAATCCAGGCGTACAGAAGCATTGTGGTGCTCCAGCTTTATCCAGTCTACAGATTCCATTTACACACGAGTTTACTGGGCAATCTGTACTTCGCAGTTGGCATTTCTGGCCACTAAATCCATGTTGACAGTTGCAGATGAAAGCAGACCCGTTCGCGGCGCAAACACCCCCGTTCCAGCAAGGATCGGGAGAACAAGGGTCTGCAGAAACTCCAAGAGCGGCCTCAGATTCTGAAATGAAGACGAAATGGACCGCGAGGCACCAAAATAACCAGCATATTAGACGTAAAGACATGCTGCCTTCTTAACCTTCCGTAATGGTTGAAAGAAGTTGCCTATGAAAAACTTGAAAAGGGAGACGCGTGGTTAAACAAAGGATTGTCATGGGAGCAGTAAAAATCATCCAATCAAGTGTCGATTACAAGAGAAAAGAACCAATCACAGAATCCGTTATAAAGAGAATCCCATAACAACAGCTGGAGCTGGATGGGTATCAAAGTGGGTGATGTTTGTTGCACTCCTTTTGTTTAATTTTTTTTTTAAACGCCATGTTTACAGGTATTTGAAATGTTTCTTCTCAAAAACCATGTGTTCTGTACAATCGTGACATGTGTTTGCCACTGATCATAAGGCCAGGGCATACGGCAATCGTCAAATCCACTCCGTGCGTCACTTTTATTTTGTGGTAAGGCCATCCCAATAGCCTGTGTATATACGTCCCCCTCCCTCAGGAAAAATCCCGATTTTTCCTGAGGGAGTGGGGACGTCCGTACACAGGCTAATCCGCCGACCGATTCACTTTTTTGGAAAAATAAAAAAATTAAAAAAAAATCCAGAATCACTTGTAAAGAAGCAAGTACTTTAATTTACAAGCACATGATCTTGTCTTATTAACACCAATTGTCTTAAACTATCATCGATACTTCGATTTTGTAGCCTTTTTAGACATGGATAGTCCTGATATACATCTTTTACCATCTGATTATATCTTGCAGACTAAACGTGAGATTTAATATGCAATCATGTGTTCATTCTTTTTTTTTTTTTTTTTAGTTGCCATCGTGTGGCATTGTTTTTAAAGGGGGGGGAGAGTTGTGGAAATGATTTTGTTGGGGAGGGGGGTGTGTGGGGAAGGACAATGGGAGTGGGGGGGGGGGGGGGGGGGGGGGGTTTTTCAGCTTGCACGAATTTTTTTTTTTCGCTCACTGCTTGTGTAGGATTTTTTTTTTTCAGGTGAACCCCTCTGCACGAAATTTTTTTTTCAGAAGGGGGGGGGGATTTTCAGCTTGCACGAATTTTTTTTTTTCGCTCACTGCTTGTGTAGGAATTTTTTTTTTCAGGTGAACCCCTCTGCACGAATTTTTTTTTTCAGACAAATATTGCTTTTTTTGAACAGTGAAATCTTGATTCATTATCTATGTTTTTGTGCTTTATAAATTATTCTACACTCACAACAGATCAAGGGATACAGGCCACTTTAATACAAAATCTTTTCGAAATTGTACACTCAGTGAGAGAGGAGGAAGCTACTTGGAGTGGACGGCTTCTCTGTGCATTTCTTCAGTCCCTGCCCTCTAGAATTCCTCTCCCACAGCCCATCATAATGATGCCATACTCCATTCACCAATGAAAACCATACTTTGTGGTTCTTAATTTTTGTTAAAAGTACCGGTGGCGGTGTTGCTGTTTATGTCGTTGACAGTTTAAGTTTTAACACTTACTACTACGTGTGAATGCTTGTTTTCACTGTATTATAGAATTCTTATTCAAGGCGGTAAGGTCCATCCTCTAAATTTTATTGTGGGCACAAATAATTTTATAGAATATTTACAAAGCTACCGAATTCTAATATTTATTTATTAGAAATTTTATTTTATTATTTTTGTTATAATACAGTATATAGTGTATGTTGTAGGTACACTAGCTGCAATTTAAAACAAAAACAAGGTTCTAATTGTCTCCTTTCAATAAGAAGAAAGTGATTTTTCTTTATTCATATTGTCCCTGGTAATATTGTTGATTTCTGAAACTCAGACTTTCTGAAAGAAACTCAGACCTTCTGAAAAAGTCACAATTGGACCTTCCTTCTGCATGATTTTTTTTTTCTTTGCCTTCTTCTTTGCATGAATTTTTTTTCTTGGCATTTTCCCTTGCATGAATTTTTTGTTTTGTTTTTTTTCCTCATCCCCCCCCCCCCCCCCCCCCCCCCCCCCCTCCCCCCCCCCCCCCCTCCCCCCTCCCCCTCCCCTCCCCCCCCTCCCTCCCCCCCCCCTCTCCCTTTACCTCTTCCCTCCTCCCAATACTTCCAACGACCCCCACAGCACAAGTGGACCCCGCGCGAAAGCAGGTGACAATAAAGATAAGAGTGAAGCGGGTCGGGAGAGTTTTTTCACATGTTGTTTTTTTTTTTTTTTTTTTTTCTCATTAATAGATTTTTTTTTTTTCAAGTTTTTGTTTGATCTTCGTATCCGCTGTGGGCTTTTTTTTTTTTCTCCCCTGTTTCCCCTCAAAAAATTTTTTTTTTTTTTTTTTTCCCCCCCCCCCCCCCCCCCCGCCCCACATCACTTTTCTAGTGGTCCGTCCCTAATGTCACGTCAATTGCGTCCCATAACTGCCTTTTTACTAGCTCCGTTCTACAGGGAAAAGGCAAAAACGGGGCGAAACAGCCATAATCGGCGAGCGATGTCAGCCGAATCCACCCTGGCTACCACTCGGCTGTAAAAACTCCGATCATGTCCAATTCTTTCGCCTTTACCCCCACCTCGGAGCCTGGTCACAAGAAGCACCCAGCGACAGTTTCCTCCTATCAGTACATTTTAGCCGTGAACACTTTTTGGGCTATCCAGAGTATTTTAAATTTTAGATTTCTAAAACTACATTACATCAGATTAGATCGCATTTTTCAGTTCGAAAATTTTAGGTTTCGTTTTTTCTACAAAAATAGCCTAAGTTGCAATGGGAAGTGAAACCGGGAAATGCCAACTTCTGAAAATCGTAGGGAATTTATTAGTTAATAGGCTTCGAAAATTGTACATGTCGTACATGAATGGCACAGTCATGTAAAAATTTATTTTTTAGGCGTCTCAAGTAAAAGTAATAGAAAATCCTAGCAATATTTTCTTCTCCGAACAGATACGTTACAGAAAACAGTCGTTCGGTGTCCCTGTGGTCGCACAGGCTACATAAGGGGTGGCGAATGGTAAAATCCGAGACTCGCCGAGACGCCGAGATCCTAGTTAGAAATCCGAGCCCGAGACCCCTTGGTGAAAATTTTCGAGACTCAAAAAAGTAAAAACAAACCATGAAAAAACGAGACTTCGAGACTTATCAAAAACGCTTCCGAGATTTCGAGATCCTGCCAAAACTTTCCGAGACCCACGTTTTTCGAGGTACCATTCGTCACCCCTTACATATTAGGGGCAAGAGAGCCTATCATTTTAAGTGATGAACGTCAACCGGAAGTGAGACTTTTCCCTTTTATTATGCGTTGATGCTATAAAATTTGTATTGCTTAGTTTCTTTACACTTTTAGAGACGATTTTACTGAAAATTTGGGCAAAACCACTGCTCAAGAACCAAAAAGTCTACTTCCGGTTGACGTGCGTCGCTCAAAAACTCCTTTGCCAGAAGCATGGCGGAGTCCTGCCTTTCCCTGGCTCACAGTGGTCAAAATTAGAAAATTCACTGACACTTTCACATTTCTGTTTGTACTGATCCTAAAGTAAACAACCCTAAAAAAAAGTTCCGCCAAAAAGGTCCACTTGAATTGTAACACTGTAGGATTTATTCGGAGTGAAAGGGCCAAAAAGTCTGTACTAAACAAAAGAAGCAAGGCTAAATTTATAGTCAGGAATATATATATATATATATGTATATACCGTAAAATTCCGAAAATAACTCCCTCCGTGTATAAGCTTCCTAAACTCGTAACGCAAAAAACCCTCTGATCGCCCCTCCAAACTCGGGTGATAAGCCCCGCCGAGAAATTGCCCTCAAATACAAAGTAAAACAAAGCAAAAACGGTAAATTTACTTCCAACTATAAGGCTAACCCGATCGTTTTTGAAACACAAATTTCCCTTCGTAGATAAGCCCCTCGGAATATAAGCCCCTCTGAAAAAACCTAAAAGGGCCTTTGAAAATATAAGCCCCAGGGCTTATTTTCAGAATTTTACGGTATATTATTTTGTTGTACTCCTCCTTGGGAAGTCGATAGGGTGCGAGCAGGCTCACGTGCCAGTATAGCCTGTATGCAGCCGGACTTGTCAGTCGAGACCCAAATAGAGAACTCGATATATCGGGGATTTTGTGAATATTAATCTCATTAATATGAGTAACAGCATTGATGAGCCAAGCGAGACAAACGCGGTATCTTGAGCGAAGCGCGACAAGCCCCTCGTCTCGCGCTTCGCGCAAAATGCTGCTTTTGCCTCGCTTGGCTTATAAAGTGCCTATGCAGGCTGCAGGGATTTAGACTTTCTGTGACGCAAGCTAACTTGTGCCAGTTCCGGGGAAAGTTTTGGTGGCGAATTAAAAAATTAAAAAATTTCCCCGGGGCTCGCCGCGCAAGTGAGCCTGCCGAGTTTGGGTGTGACTGCAGTTTCGGGAGAATGATTATATTAAGGGAAGGATAAGGGTGGAAATCGTTGGGGTCGATGGGATGAACAAGCCTTCGGTCAAGGGGGTAACTGGGAACTTCCCTCTCCACTCCGGCGATCCTCGCGATTTTTTCTCCCTTTTCCCAAACAGAGAGCCTGCTCACAGGCAACATAAACAAGAATTACGATTCAACCCTTTTGTGGCTCCCAGAGAAAAAGATGGAGTCTTGCGTGCTGGTGTCCCTACGTTTTAGTCAGTGTGGGTGAAATCCACAGTTGTAAGTACCGTTCACATGGTAGTATTTTGCATAATGAAAAATTTGCATTTGTACATGCCGTTACGTACGTAAAAATACGTACGTTACGTACGGTGGCCAGTACCTCACTCATGCGCACAGCCATTTCGGCGTAGCATGGCGGTTTTGGTCGGGCGCGCAAACAAGCAAGCCAAGGTGGGCGAAAGGCTCTTTTTTAACAGAAAAATTTATGGAAAATACTATATATAACCTAGCTAACTGTCCGCACTTCATATTACTTACTACCAAACCATTAAACACATTATAGTCTCTGAGGGTCTCTCTATCCTGCGGTACCTGAGGGTTTTTGTGCCGAAGATGGTGAATGCCAAGAATCCTTCGATCTTGCGATTTATTAACTTTTGTCTTCCCCTTCTGTACTTTCTAGGGTTTGATAAGTGGTATTTTTGTTATGTGCTCTGCGGAACTGCAATAAATACTAACTAGAATTTCTGTTGGCTTTCCTTGAACTTTTAGCAAACAATTGAGCTTGGTCGGGATCAAAGTGGAGTCGATGCATAAGGGATAAGAATAAATTATTAGTGCATCCCAAAAACATCAAACAGATTTCATTAGCTGAAAAGTCAGCTTTTTGTGTTTTAAAATATTCTTCAGGATATAGCCCGGTACTCCGCGTCGACACGCACGCGCTATGCCTAAGTCACGCGAGGAAGCAAGGAAAAACGTCATCGCTTCGCCTTGGCCTCAAAGTGCTTACAGTTTTGACTTTGGGAGTGGTGTGTTTACAATACAAAACATGAACGTCAAGGTGTTTCGTTCAAGAAAAGGAAGTGTTATTGGCCCAGGTTTTCCCTCCTTTTGTTATCCGTGCGAAACCTACTCCCGCGGGGGTGAAATATAAACCATCGCCTCATTTCCCAGAAACCATCGCTTACGAGTCTACGCCCAAGAAGGACTCCATGGCCGAAGATGTGTGAAGAAAGGCAAGGAAATTCGTCATTGACCGGAAAGTGATAAAATTCAACAAATATTCCGTGAATGTTATAGAATCATACACTCTGCCAAGGCCCTTTGAACGAGTCTCTGTTTCGCATATATCAGGGGATCGGAATATATTTCGTGTGGTTACATATTAACCGACGCCAAACAGAAGCCCTCATCGGCGTTTTCTTACCCAGACAACACGATGAATTTGAAAGAGTATAAAGTCGTGGTCTTAGGCTCAGGAGGAGTTGGAAAAAGCGCTTTGACAGTTAAATTTGTCACCGGACAATTTGTGGAAAAATATGATCCAACGATCGAAGACTTTTATCGCAAGGAGATCGACGTCGATAACAGTCCCTCCATTTTGGAAATTTTAGACACCGCCGGCACGGAACAGTTCGCTTCCATGAGAGATTTATACATCAAAAATGGTCAAGGATTTCTTCTTATATACTCTCTTTTAAACCGACAAACATTCAATGACCTAAAGGCAATAAAGGATCAAATTCTCCGCGTGAAAAACATGGACACGGTCCCAATGATTCTTGTTGGAAATAAAAGTGACATGTTCGACGAACGCGAGGTGTCTGCTAATGAAGCGAAACTTCTAGCCGAAGAATGGGGATGTCCGCACTTCGAGACCTCAGCTAAAACCAGTAGCAATGTCGATGAAATGTTTTCAGAGATCGTGAGACAAATGAAAACAAGACAGAAGGAATCTGGAAGTGGAGGATGTTGTGTTTTGCTCTAACCTCAATGCAAGGCCATAATTTTGTGGATGGTTCGCGCACCTGATCTTAATACGAAAAACTTTGTCGAGATAGTGATATATATTACGTCCACTTTACGTTTAAGGTCTGTGACACTATGTGTCGAAGGTGACGCCTGTATGTTAAAGCCTTTTTAACTTTTACAAGAGAATTTTACCACCTCAGGCGATGTCGTAAGTTCCGCTGTAAGTTTAATTGCTATGAAATAGTGTTTTTTATTAGAAAGAATGTTTTGACTTTGTTTAATTCTGGAGTTTTTAAACACTTTGTTAGATTCTCTTCCTAAAGAGAACAAGATTTTTTTTCAAGTTTTAAAGATATTTTAGAAATATGCGTTTTTTAATCCCATGTAGGTCATATTTCTAAACTCATGACAACAATGTATGGAGCGTAACGATGGAGACCTCTGTACTATGTATCTTTGCAAATTAGCCAGTAATTTTTTGTACAATGTTCAAATATCGCATAGAATANAATATGCGTTTTTTAATCCCATGTAGGTCATATTTCTAAACTCATGACAACAATGTATGGAGCGTAACGATGGAGACCTCTGTACTATGTATCTTTGCAAATTAGCCAGTAATTTTTTGTACAATGTTCAAGTATCGCATAGAATACTTATAATTAATCTTCACTTGACACCATAATGATATATAATTTTTTTTAAATAAAGGAACACCAAACTAATTTTCCACTTTCTTTTGTAACCGACTTAAAGAATGACAAGGTATTTTCGTAAATATAAGGATGTCTGCAAATAACAAACCGACGCGCGTGTATGTTTACTTCTGTTCTTCCTTGAGTATCTCTGAGTCATTATGGAAGATTGACTATATTTATACTGGTTTTTCGTCCATAGATATTGTCAAGCAATCTACAAGAATAAAAAAAGGCTTGATATTGCTTTTTCTGAATTCGAAATCACATGAAAAATCGTTAACGCTCTTGCAAAATTATTTGTCATTTGTTAGATATTTTTTAAACATTCTGTCTGCGAGGAATGTTCTCGTTGAATTAAATTTCCAAGGAGTAAAGGTGTCATAAACACATTAAATTCATTTACCATCATGATGAATAATGTCATACCGAAAAATTCCAAAAATAAGCCCCAGGGCTTATATTTTTCAAAGGCTCTTTTTGAGGGGCTTATTTTTGGAGGGGCTTATATTCGGAGGGGCTTATGTATGGAGGGGAAATTTGTGTTTCAAGATCGATTGGGCTAGCTTATAGTTGGAAGGAAATAATTACTGTTTTTGCTTTGTTTTACTTTGTATTTGGGGCAATTTCCAAGTGCAAGCCCCTGTGGGGGCTTATATTCGGAGGGGCGATTTAACGGAGGGTTTTTTTGTGTTACCGGTTTGGGGGGCTTATATTTGGAGGGGCTTATTTTGGGAATTTAACAGAATATGGTCTTCAAATCTTGTGCATAATATTATTTCAACACAGTTGCTGAGTTCTCTCCCATTCTTTTTGTTGACCTAAGAGGCTATTGTTTTTTGAGAACAGTAACATAGGTCTGAAATATGGTAGTAACTTGCATAGCTGGTGGTTTGGTTTGTTGAACATGCAAAGGCAGTTTTTGTTTTACCTCTCGCCAAACAAACAGGCTAATAGGGTAAGATAAAATCAGACAAATTTTGGTCCGAAAAGGGTTAAGGGTTTTAACAAGCACTATTCCACTTGAATTTCTTGGAAGAGAGAGGTACAGAGTTATGGGGTGTAGTAAGCACTGAAAGTCCTCAAACAAAAAGTAAAACATAGCTTGAATGACTTTCTCAGTGAATGCAGGCTAAACGTGAAAAACAAACAAACTGCAGTGAACCCTCATTATAGTTATTGAGACCACCATAGGGTTATCTAACATTTCTGCAATGAAGGACAAAAGTCTTGGGACAACTATACAGTTCTAACTCTTTTCAACAGATGCCAAATAAACATCATGCATGACTAACCTGAATTCACCTCCCCTCACCCCACAGACAGTGTAGAAACCGTCAGGCCGCAATATGCTGCTTAATTCCAAGTTTCAAAAATCCTCACTTTCAAAATGAGGCCAGCAACACAACCTTTCTTGTGAAAATGAGTTTGATTTGCCTGAGAATGACAAATCATTTCCATTTAAAAGGCTGAGCACTTAACCTCATTTTGATACAGAGGCCTGGGGTAACTCAGAAATGGCTATTTCTTTGATACTTCAACATTGTATTGAAGACTTGCATAATGATGGCGGTGTGACGGGACTGTTACTTAGATGTCTATGCCAGTAAGTTGCACGTGGCAGTGACCAACTCGAAAGCCTAAGCTCCTTTGGTCACTGCACTCCTTTCACCTTTGATAATTGATGTAATTTTTGGTTTTGTTTCCTCTTACTTTTGTAATTTATTGTATTTGTTTTACTAACCTTTTGAAAT